CTCCCAACTTTTTAAATGAGAACTTTTCCTTAACTTTGCAATGAAGTTCAACATTTTTCTGTCATCCTACCTTACATGTGCTGCCCATGCCACTGTGACTATTAAGAAGGTCATCAAGTACACCGCAATTTTTGTTAGAAGAAGTTGCTGAACACTTTCACCTAGTTTCTGAAACAAAATAAGAAGTTACACCCAGATAGAAATGAAAGATTTAAAGAAGTTACTCGCAGACTCATGCAGCACATTTGCTATAACCATGGACCATAGTTGAGTCTCCTGAAGTAAATTAGACAAAATGCTCAGAGTTGAGTCTGGCTGTTTTTAAGAGCAGAAACACATACTGTGATTTGGAACTGTGAGTCTTTTCAAATGATTAACTTACACTGCCCAACACTCGTGCTTCTTTCGATTTATTTCTGTAGTCCTTTTTTCTTCCACCTTTACTCTGATTAGTTATGATTAGCCTGATTTTAAAACTCACATTCATTTTATGCTATACTAAGTGGCTTCTCTAACTGATGATGTATTGCAAACAAGATGCAATCATGTTTTCTGACAGATGCTTCAGTGAGGTAGGTCATTAATTTCCATACAAAATAACTGCATAAGATCTATGACCTGCATATTCCATACATCTTACTAAGGCTTTATATCATGGCTTTCGTAAACTACACAGGCCTTCAGCATCTAAGTTCTTCGCCTCAGGCTATACAGCTCCTCTTTGAGGCTCAACACTAATGGTTTGGGAGTTCAGGTCTTGAATGGAAGAGGGGCGTTGCATTACGATGCAAAATTCATTTCCAAAGACTCGAGAGATGACCAAAAAACGGCAAAGAAGGTACCTGATCGGGATGTATTTTTGTGTGAGCCACAGGCAAAATCTGAAATAACAAAGTTCTATTAGTACAAGTCAGAACATTATAAAACTTAACGAACTTCAGGGGGGTGCAAATACTCAGGGCTCGTATAACGACTCATTAAGAGCAATGCTACCCCCGAACTTGTTCGCGGAACCCGCTCGCAAATGCCTGGAGCTCCGACAGACGGCGGTGATCCCTCCAGGGAAAAGGGCGGGGAAGGGGAACGTAAACACAGCTCGGCAGCTGAGCACGGCGCTGGGTTCGGTCCTTAAGGCAGGGCAGCGGCTCCGGGGCAAGCGGGGCGCAGCCCCCGTCCCTCCCCGCCCAGCCTCCGCCCGTCGGAGAGGGCCCGGGCCCCGCGCAGGCCCCCACGGCCGGCGCTCACCATCACCGTGGCGATGATGGACAGCAGCGCGTCGCTGTAGGCCAGTAGCCGGTGCGACGTCTGCGTGCTGCTCCCCAGCTCCAGCTCCAGCTCCATCTTCCTAGCCCCGCCGCCAGGGCCCGGCGTGGCGGCCCGCGGAGCCGACATGGGCCCGGTGCGGTGCGCCCCGCCCCGCCAGCACCTCCCCCGGCACGGCGGCCGCAGGGCGGGGGCGACGGCGGAGCGGGCCGAGAGCCGCTAGTCCCGCTACAGTGGTTGCGAGGAGGAAAACGCCGCCTGGAGCTCGGGGGTGCCAAGGCTTCCGGCTGCGGCCCTGCCCCGCAGCACGCGTCAGCCCCGGCCGGCAGAGCCCTGCAGCCTCCCTGGGGATCGCCCCGCCCAGTTCTGGTGCTGCCTCGCCTCGCCTCGCGTGCTGTGCGCAGTTTGGATGCCGCAGAATAAGGAGGACTTAAATATATGCATCCAAAAGGGATACGAAGATGGTGAAGGGTCTGGAGAGGAAGATGTGTGCCGTGCAACTGCTGTCCGTTGGTGCGCTCAGCCCAGAGCAGGGAAGTGCAGCTGTATGCGTGGGCAGCGATAGGCCTGAAGGCTCGCACGAAGTGATGGGCTCTCTCCAGGGGTCAGCAAGGACTGGTGGCAGTACTGCCCGGGCTGGGATACTCGGTCTGGAGAGGCTAAGTAGCACACAAAGTATGTCCGTGCTAAAAGATCTCACAGTGCTGAAATCTGGCGTTCAAGTGAGTTAGTAGACACTGGAAGTAAGATAGTATGGTCTTAGGCAATAAATAGAAGAACCTGTGAGATATTCAGCAGCATCCCAGCCTCTGCTGGCTCTGCTTTTATAACTGGTGGAAGTTAGCTTTCAAGCCTACCTATATTGCACAACCGATCACTCTGAGACGGTGATATGCATTCTTCCTGGAAAGAAGAATGTGAAAAAAAAAAAGACAATCTTGGCTGCAGTCAGGCCAGAGGAGAAAGCTGCAATGGTGGGGAATGGGCAGCAGGTTTCTAATGCATACTCATGGGAGACTCATGTCAGGAACTGGAACTAGCCATGAGCCTTAGCGAAGAGGAATCTAGGGAATCACCTCTGGAATTTTTTTGGGTTGGCAAGCAACAGTCTAGAGAAAAAAACATGAGTATATTTGCCTGTTAGAATAGCATATGTTCTGCTGAAGTTTCCTGAGGCAGGTATGTGACTGGGGACTGGTACTCCTTGGCTCTGACCCACGGTAGTAAGTTTAGCAAGCAACCACAATATGTAAACAGGCTGGTAACATATCACCCCCTGCCAGCTTTCTGTCTCCCCATTTCTAGTGCCAGGATGTTGACAGGCAAGCTTCCTGTTGGTGGTGTGATTAAGCCCACCATTGTTATCAAAACTTAGGTGCTGGGGCCACCAGCATGTGGTGACAGCTGTCACAGAGTAGGGATGTGATAAAAGCATATAAAATATTACCTTCACAATCAAGCAGCACCATTTCTAAGGACTGGGGCTAGAACTGCTACTGGACAGTAAAACCTGTGATCCGTCAGTGCCCATGGACACCTCTACTATTATCTTCTACTTCTGAGGATTGGGTGGCATGTGTTCTTTTAGGTAAAGCCTGAGTGTAGCCTGTAATTATTGTAGTGTGTTGATTGATTATTGAGAATTTGACACATGGTCTGCAGAGTGTCCAGGTGACTGAGAAGTCCAGGTAACTAAGTATTCTATGTAATTAGATAGCTATGGTAGATTGTAGGAATTCTAGGTTAACTGTAAGCTAAGTGCTAGAAATTGTAGATACAATAAGGTATGCTGATCACTAATGTTTTTGTGTAATAATAAAGCTCTAATTGTAACCACAGCCCTATGGCTGTTCTTCATTCTGCTGAAGATCCCTGGAAGAACCTACCTGTCCTCTGTAGCATGGGATGATTCAACCACGAAATCTCAGAAAACTGAATTTCTTTTAACAAGCATGTTGAAGTAAAGTTCAGCTAAAGTACAGATGGTGAAAAAAAAAACAGAACTGCAGCAGAAATAAGTTTGTAAGACAAAATGGGACAGGCCTTTGGCTGAAATACTGAAATAATGTGTCAAACACAAACGAACTCTAAATTGTGTACTTCAGTTGGGATAGACAGTTCTGTGGCGCTAGTAATAATTTCTTTTTGAGATTCTGGATTGCAGAGCAAACCACTGAAAGTGAAGCTACTGAAATTATTTCATTTTTAAATGGTCTCTCCATTTTTCATTGCAGTTTTCTGAACTTGGTGACATCAATAGTGTTTTTTATGCTTGGTCTAAGAGGCAAATGAAAATGACTCCTACAGAATCTGTCAAAGTTGCTAGAACATATTAGCTAGTAATAAATGTTGTCTGTGATATCCACAGTGTAAAATAAAACTTTCCTCAGAACAGAACGGCTTTGCTGCAAGAAAATTTGTCTTGATTTGTTGCCAAATCTCGAGTTTTTAGTTTGTAATTTTCAAATTTTTAATTTTTAAAAGATTGTGGTATTGAAAAAATAACGAAGACAAAAGAACACATAGAAAAGATGCTCCATCTTCACAGTGGACACTTCTCACTGCTTCCTGACATCAGCCCGTTGGGTGTTTCATACTCCATTGCTCTGAAATGGGGTCCATTCGTTGTCTGTGATCCCTCTGAAGGAATACTTTCTCCTCTACTGTCATCTATGCTTCTTGCTGCATGGGTGTCTCTTTGCTCTAGTCTCATTCAGGCAACTTTTCTTGTGCCTCCTTTTTTTTCTCCAGCATCTTCCTGCCCCTGCATATCTCCTGTCCTGGCACCTCCTCCCTTTGCCCTGTTTCCCTTTTACGCATGGTCTTTTAGATTTTTCCTTAAAAAGGTTAATAAAGATTAACTATGCTCTCTACATATTTTCTTTTTTCCCACCATAAGTATTCATAGATGAAGTTGGAGTATATGCAATGTTGTGCATTGTAAAGCATGCCAAGAAGCATATGTTGAATGGAAACTGTATAAACCGCAAAGTAATGCATAAGAATTTTAGAATGCAGAATAATACAAATTAATTATAGAAGAGTTCATGTGAACATTTCTATTTGGTTTGCATGAAGTGCTTTGTATAACATGCAACTTGAGCTCGAAGAGTATGGCACAGAAGTGATATCCTTCCGAGGACATAAATCTCTGTATGAACAGGCATGTAGTATTATAATGTACTCTTTGAAGCTAAAGAGAAACAAATAAGTGAGTTAATGGTCTTCATATGGTGTTTCTGATAATAATTAACTGTGGTTTAAAATATTTCTTTTTATTGCTCTCCACATACACATGAGCAATTGTCCTGAGAATAGGTGCTACTTAGTGTTATGTTCTGAAAACTTTTGCCCCATAAGATTTATTAAAATGAGAACAGAACTTTAAAAAAAAATAAAAAGCTAAAATGAGTCTCTTGCCATTACCTCTTTTGTTATCACTCTGCCTTCAGCAGAATGGTGATTTTTTTGCTGGGGGCTGGCTCATTGTAACATACTAGCTACCACCTGAGTTATCACAGTTAGGCAGCACTTTTTCCATCCTTGCAACTGAGAGACAATTTTGCTTAATCCTACTTTTGTCTGAGTGAGCTTAACTCAAGATTAACTATTTTATTATCTCCAAAGTGAAAGCTTCTCTTAGGCCTCATGCTCACTGCTAAAAAAACTCTGTGTAAGAAGATTGATTGTGGCTCATATGTTTAAGTGGTTTGTATTTATTACTGCTTTTGCTACCATACCTGCCTTCCACTTGTGAGACATTTGCTAGTGGTCTGGTGAGTAATATTTTTTGTTCACGACAGCCAGTATGGCTTGCAGTTGTATTGCTCCACCTGTATCTCAGTGCCTTTTTCTTTGCTGTATATTATGCCTACATCATGGAACGGCATTTTTGTAAGTGGCAATTGATTTGGTGACCGGAGATCAACATAATGAATTGCAGCAGCATAAAACTGCTCAGTGGTAAGGGGATTTTCATGGCCAGATGCACCTGCTGTTTCCTAAGTAATTTCTGATGCTACGTTTTACTTGGGTGCTCCATTATGTTACTGCAATGCATCCTAAAATATGCTAATGTAACACAGAGCTTTAGGGGAAGCAAAGCTCTTCACTTTGTTTAGATACTTCGAATCCTTCTGGTTTCCAGTGCATCTCTCTAAGGAAAACAGTAGGAGAAAAGAGTTCTGTAAAAGGAGGTGAGAAAGCCTGACTGTTGACAAATTTACTATGTTTGGGGCAGGAGTATAGATTTTAGTCTCAGAATTTAAGGTAGTTTACAATGAACACTGCCTTTTCTGATGGCTCTAAGAATCTCCACTGATTACTGTACAGCTCTTCACTTAACTACTGTCAAAAATACTATTAGGGAAGGACAGCTCACCACCCCGAGGTGTTATAAACTTCTCACATAAAAGGGAGATGTTTCTGCACAGTTCATTGCAAAAGCTAAGTGTAGATGCTATGTTTAAGAGAAAACTTTATTTATACCCTTACAAATAAATCTCACTGCTTTTTTGCCATCTTGAAGTGCTTTTTACTTAGCATTTAGAAGAAGGGAAGAATGAAGGATTTGGGACATGAACAAAGGTGTTCAACTCTGGCTTAACTATCTCTGCATTTAACACTTCTGCAGAGTTTAACAGGACAAATTTTATCCAAACATTAAAGTCTTATGAGTTTCTGTAGTGGTGTGTTTTAAAATTCTCAAAGATCAGTCTTAATCTTCTGAGCAACAAAGGTGGAAGCTATTGCATCAGCTGCTTTCATATATACATTAACCTTTCCACCTTGTTTTCTGTCTGGGCTTGTTCTGTAGTTGCTTTTGGTCTTTCTCATTTGCAGGCTCGCTGAAAATATAAAGTCATGTCAAGCCATGCCTCAAAAAAAGAAAAACGGTTTCTTTTTACCTCAGAATCTGTTGCAGAAGGACATTCTGGTAAGTCAAAATACTGACCAAATTTTTGCTTTTATTATGAAAGTTGAGTCCTATCTCCTATAGTGAAGAAAAGAAACAATCAATTGTTTTGATTAGTGTTTTTACTTCCTTGACAATAATTTGTTTTATTTGTTTAATATGCAGTATAGTCTGGTGTATAGATAACTTAGAACTTCTACTTGAGAGGAAGAAGGAGGTGTCTTCTACAGTAGACTTAGAGCTACTACGTATAGTGGACGTTGATTTTAATTGCAATTTGAAAAAAAATTGTGTCTTCCACATCTTTAACTCTGAACTTCTGAGATGTTTGAAGTACTAAGCATTGGTTTTCATTAGAGCTGCCTACCAGATACTTCTGTAAATACTAAACATGGCTGTTTGGCCAAATTGCTCTGTTCAGTGCAAGTTTAAATATGTTGTAGGGGGTTCAAAAACCACCCTGTTTTTTTCTGGGCTGAAAGATAATACCAGATCTCTAATGTCTGTTCTTTAAATTCAGGTGTTTTTCGCACAGTATTATTTAGACAAATGTGCATCTAGAAGCTCTATTAACTAATGGAGCAGAGAAAGTTCAGGCTTCCATCAGATATACTAGTAATTTAAATTTATAGTAAAGGCTGCAACGTCTATACATTTTTATTTTAACCTTAAAATGGAAGATTTTAATGTTAAGACTAAAAGTAACACTACTTTTTTATTTTGCCATAATAAAATAAATGATAAAAAGCCTAAGAGAGAGTACATAAGGGTGATGTCAAACACTGAATAGTTGCAGATGATTTTTCTTGTGTATGTTTGTTCTTATGAATCCTATTCCTTATGTGGGAACTGCATAGTGTGAGACCAGTTATTATAGTATCCCATGTCTGAACAGCCCAAGAACTGCAAGACCACTGCAGCATGTAGCATCATATCAAGAATGACTGCAACCACTTGTTTGCTTTTGAACATTATGCTGTATGTTGTAATAGGGCAAGTAACTGATGGCAATAAAACTTATCAGTTCTTCCAGGATATGGCATTCCTTGCTTGAGTATCAGACCGCGTGTTTTGAATCCTTTTCACACTTACAGGGCTATTGATTAATAAACTTTGGAATTTGACGTTACTGATTCTACGCTGGATTGTAAAAATAATTTATGGGTCTGAAATTATAGCTACATGATGTTTCTGCCTTTCATCTCATGCCCTTGGGTCTTCAAACTGCGGTCAGTTTTATCAGTATGGTACAATATACTTACGTAACTGACCGTATTTCTGATCCTGTAAGTAAACATACTGGCAAGAAATTTCAGTAAGGCTAGAGGGCATGTGTCACACCCATCTACATGAGGGGTCCAAAAGAGGATACAAGAAACTATGAGGCCATTATTCTCACTTCAAACCGTGTGAAAGTAATGGAATCCACTTAGCGAATATTATAAACAAATGAAGCGGGCACCTGGGAAGATCCAGCACAACGCTATTTCCCACTGTCTCATCCTAGGCAAACTGGCTAGATGTAGAGGAAATATATGGTCTGGGAGATGGAAATGGGCCAACAGGCATTACTCAAAGGGGAGTGGTCAGTTGTTTTCATGCAGGCTGGCAAAAGTGGAATCTGCCAGGGATCAATACTTGGCCCTATGCTATAGAATATCTGCAAAAAAGATCTGGACAATTAAATTAATAATGATGATAAAGTGACCATGCCAGAAGGGAGAGATGTCTTACAGCGACTGGGACAGGCTGGAAGTGTGGTCAAACAAGAGCAGCATGAAATTTTACAAAGACAAGTTCAAGGTTCTGCATCTGGGATGACATCATCAAGGAACCCAGTATAGGCATGAACTCTCTCTGTGGTCTACTCTAAGCCAATTTTTAGTTTATACCTCAGTGAAATAGTATTGATGGCACACAGGTTCGTATGTTCTAAGTAACAGGTTGGCATTTTTCATATTTATTTGCTTTTAGAGTGTGTTGGAAGGTTCTACTCCGTGGTTCCTGTGTTAATTTCACTTTTGGAAGGTACTACTCTATGGTTCCTGTGTTAATTTCATTGTGAGCCTTGAATTACAGATTTTTTCTTTCTGTTTATTTATTTATTTTTTTTCCCAGAGGCAGACCAAGAGGTTGAGGTTAGCCTTCCAAACTCCTGAGCCTGGAGGCTGTGGTTCAGGCAGACTATGACTTAGTTGCCATAATGGAAAATGATGGGATCAATTCTATGACTGGAGTGCTGCAATGAATGACTATAAGCTCTTCAGAAGGGATAGGCAAGGAAGGAGAGGTGATGATGTACCTCTCTGTGTTAGAGTGCTTTGATGTTGGTGAACTTTGAGCGGGGAATGCTAAGGTTGATATGGGTAAGGATCAGGAGAAGGACAAACAAGGCAGGCATCCTGGTGGGGGTCTGTTATATACTGCCTAACCAGGATGAAGAAACAGATGAGGTGTTCTATGAGCAGCTGGTGGAAGTTGCATGATTGCCAGCCCTCAAGTCTCATGGAAGACTTCAGCTTCCCTGATACATGTTGGAAATACAGTGCAGAAAAAGCAGTCTAGGGGGTTTTTAGAGTGTATGGAAGATAGCTTCCTGATGCAGCTGGTAAGAGAACCTACCAGGCGAGGTGCCACACTAGGTCTGCTGTTCACAGACAGGGATGTGGAGGTTGGGAGCTGTCTTGGGCAGGCTGACCATAAAATGGAAGAGTTCTTGGTTCTTGATAAAGTCAGGAGGATGGGCAACAGAACTTCTACCTTGCACTTCTGGAGGGTGGACTAAGAACTGTTTAGGACACTGGTAGGGAGAGTACCTTGGGATTCAGTCCTGAAGGCTAGAGGGTTCCAGGAAGACTGGTTGCTCCTCAAGAAGGAAGTCTTAAAATTGCAGGAACATCAAGATGAGCTGGCGGGGAAGAAGACCCGCATAGATGAAAAAGATTTTTGAGTCTCCAAGAGGAGAAAAGAACCTACCTCCTGTGGAAGAGGGGAAGGGCAACTCAAGGAGAGTGCAGAGAAGTTGTTAAGGTATGCAGGGAGAAAATTAGAAAGGCAAAAGCCCAGCTTGAATTCAACTTGAATGTTGAGCTAAAAGATAACGAAAAATTTTCTTACAAATATATTAACAATAAAAGGAGGGCTAAGGAGAACCTTCGCCCTTTACTAGATGTGGCGGGAAAATGACCACTGAGGATAAGAAAAAGGCTGAAGTTCTCAATGCCTTCTTTACATCTGCCTTTAAAAGTCAGACCATTTATCCTTGGGGTACTCTGGAAATCTCAGATGGGGAGAAGAATAAACCCCTCATGATTCAGGTGGAAACAGAGACCTACTACTCCAGTTGGACTGCCACAAGTCCATGGAGCTGGATGGGATCCACCCAAGGGTACTGAGGGAACTGGTGGAAGTGAGAGCCTGGCTGCTTTCCATCACCTACCAGTGTGCATAGTCAACTGGTGAGATCCTAGAGGATTGGAGGCTTGCCACTGTGACTCCCATCTACAAGAAGGGTTGTGAGAAGGATCTGGGGAGCTACAGACCTGTCAGCCTGACCTCAGTGTCAGGTAATGTTATGGAGCAGATCATCTTGAGTGTGATCACACAACATATGTGGGACAACAGAGGGATCAGGCTTAGCCAGCATGGGATCATGAGAGGCAGGTCCTGCTTGACCAACCCTATCTCTTTCTATGATCAAGTGACCCACCTGGTAGACAAGGGAAAGGCTGTTGATGTAGTCTACCTAGACTTCAGCAAAGCCTTTGACACTGTCTCCACAGTATTTTCCTGGAGGAGCTGGCAGCCATTGGCTTGGAGAGATACACTCTCTGCTGGGTAAAGAACTGGCTGGATGGCCAGGCCAGAGAATGGTGGTAAATGCAGTTGCATCTAGCTCGTACCAGTCACGAGTGGTGTTCCCCAGGGGTCGGTGCTGGGCAAGTCCCATTCAATATCTTTATTGATGACCTGGATGAGGGTGTTCAATGCACCCTCGGTAAATTTGCAGATGACACTAAGTTGGCTGGAAGTGTCGATCTGCCTGGAGGAAGGAAGGCGATATGGACAGGCTGACTGGCTGGGCTGAGGCCAGTGGGGTGAAATTCAACGAAGCTGAGTGTCAGGTCCTGCACTTTGACCACAACAACTCCAGGGAGAGCTAGAGGCTTGGGGCAGATTGGCTGGAAGATTGTATGTGAAAAACAGACCTGAGGGTGTTGGTGGATGCTCAGCTGAACATGAGCCAGCAGTGTGCCCAGGTGGCCAGGAAGGCCAGAGGCTTCCTGACTTACATCAGAAATAGTGTTGCCAGCAGGAGCAGGAAGGTGATAATCACTCTGTACTCAGCACTGGTGAGGCCACACCTCAAGTACTGTGTCCATATTGTTTTGGGCTCCTCACTACAAGAAAGACACTGAGATCCTGGAACAGGTTCAGAGAAGGGCAACAAAGCTGTGAAGGGTCTGGAGCACAGGCCTTATGGAAAGCAACTCAGAGAGCTGGAATTGTTCAGCCTGGAGAAGAGGAGGCTCAGGGGATACCCTGTTGCTCTTACCACTACCTGAAGGGAGGTTGTAGTGAGATAAGTGTTGGCCTCTTCTCCCATGGAAATAACAATAAATAACTAGAGGGAATAGGCTTAAGTTGCACCAGGTGTGATTCAGGTTGGACATTAGGAAATACTTCTTCTCCGAGTGAGTGGTCAGGCACATGAATGGCCTGCCCAGGCCAGGTAGAATCACTATCTCTGGAGGTGTTCAAGAAACATTTAGATTTTGTACTGAGGAAAGTGGGAAGTACTGGTGATAAGTGGACAGATGGACAGGATGATCTTGGAGGTCTTTTCTAACCTTGTAGATTCTATGATTCTGTGAATTGTTGTCCAACCTCACTGAGTATTGGGTGGTCTTTATATTGTGCCCACATATGGCACATCTGATCTGCTTCTTTACTCAGCAGAGCGGACCGTCATAGCAAAGCTATTGGAGACAGGGTCATGTAGGTCACATCATCCCAACTGTGCCCATAGGCACCTCCATGTCCCCAGGCTGTGCAGTGAGCTGGGGAGAGATGAGGTTAGGAAGCTCTTTGTCTGTCTGGCACTGCAGCTGCAGGAAGTGTCACAAACTGCAAAAGAAAAAGAGGGAGGCCATTGTCACTTGCTGTTCCCAGGGCAGGCAGCAGTGATCCCCCAGCCCTAGCTCCCTGTGACCAACTTGAGGGTTGTGTTCCCCACACTGCTCACCTCTGCTACTGTAGGTGCACCCTAGCTCCCGGAGTCAGATGGGGCCAGGGAAAAACTTGAGATGCTGTGGGATGAGCACCAAGAACTGCTGCTGACAGCCCTACAGCACAACCCAACCCATTGCTCCAAGACTCACAGCTGTGCTCAACTACCATCCAGGCATAAGTTCATGCTGGTCTCTACTGGCGACAAAATTTATACACAAAGGTCAGTGAGGTCACAGTCATCTCTGGCTGATACCACAACCCTTTGGTCAATGACCACACTGCCCATTGCTGCATGTATTTAGGCACCATCCTGGGTCTTCATCATCTTCCATCACTCAGTGATTTTTCTTTGTAATGGTGACATATATGGGAAAATAAAAATTGCACGTTATCCACAATTATCCATCTTCCACGAACTGTTTGTACTTCCTGAAACTTAGAGACACTTCCTTTGCTTGTTCTGGATGAAAAATCAATTGGTGGTGGTCTCTATGTCGGGCTTGCTTTCTATACCAAGTATAGCAATATATCACAGCAGGCTTTTTGCTCATACTTTCCTTTGTAACTACTCTATGGAATTTACTTTGGCAGGGAGTTGGACTTGGTGATCTCCAGAGATCCCTTCCAACTCCTGTGATTCCATGATTCTGTGATGTTTTGGGGTATAGAATAACTCTACTCTTATTTTATAATTTCATTCTGATGCTTGCTTTTTTCCAAAGTAGATTAAAAGCAAAAAGTAATGTAAGGAGTGCATTCAATTATGCTCCTTCATTACTTTCTCTTTGGGTCCTCTAGTTTACCAGAACATGTAGTGGTATTCTCACTTAAAAAGTTATTTTAGTCTAATAATTGCATAGATAATTGTATAGGTTCTTGCAGACAATAAGGGTAACTGGCTCACTGATATAACGCTGTAGATCCAGCTGTGTAGCTGCACTCTGATGGTATTTTTTAATGATAGTGGGTCAAGATTAATGCATATTTCTCACACTGATTCTGCAGATATGTAATATTTTAAATACATAGTTCTTCAGAAGCAACATAATTTGCTTTTATCTGGCTCAGTTACCCTGAGGAGACAAGAATCTCAATTTGTCCCTTAATCTGTTCACTTAATTTAAACAACACAGTTGTCCTAGTGAAAAGAAAATTGTGGCACATTCAGGTCTTACTTCTTCATTAAGTAGTAGGTACTATAGGAAGAATAGGTAAAAAACATTTTTCACCAACGCTTTCTAAACTCAAATGAGCTGTGCATAATTGCAGGAGTGGGATTCAAACTAACACACTTGTTTGTAGGAAGAACAACACCCCTTCCCTTAAAAAATGTAGACACATGAGATCTCAGAGACCCTAACTGGAGGTAGCAAAGGGATAAATGATATCTTAAGTGCAAATCTCTGACTGTTACTAGCATGATATATGGGGGGTAAGAACTACTGAAAGAGCATATGTTAAATATGTGTTCAGGAGATACCTATGACACCTTCTAAAACTAATATTCCAGAATGCCTTCACAGACTTTGTCTTTGTGCCCTCACCTGGCATGCTGCTTGTGCTTGCAGATGATAGTGATATGTTTGTTTGGATTAACTTGAGCAGAAGTGTAGAAACAGGATAGGAGAGACTCAGACTTCTAAGTTGCTTGAATTGGCTCTTGGCTCCATAAACAGTGACGTATTGGCTGCTGGACATGAAATGTTAAGAAATCACTTCAGTTTTTATCAGGAAATAGAAAAGTTGCATCTTTTTTTTTTTTGTCTTCTAGACAAAATGTGTGATCAGATAAGTGATGCTGTTTTAGATGCTCATCTCAGTATTGATCCAGATGCCAAGGTTGCCTGTGGTAAGTACAATGCAGACATAAAAACAGATTAATGAAGTACAACAAGTAATCCATATTGCCAAAAATGTCCTGTCATCCAAAATTCTTACAGTGATTGGCTGGCAGTCAGTTCTTCCTCAGTTAGCCAAAGGCCAGCACTGACATAGTAACTGTGAGGAGAACGGAGAGCAAAAGACTGCAAGGCATAAACAGGAAAAAGAATATAGAGTATTTCACTACAAATTAAAAATGATAAAATGTAGAAAACTTCTCAGGAGAAGTCACTGGTGTCAGGGAAAACTGGGGATAACAAAGCTAATGATTATGAGGAGTTTAAGAAAACTAGGGAAAAAAAGAATTGAGAAACAGTGTGTCTGAGAATGTATTTCCTGGGTTACTGAGTAAAATGTATTAATAAAATCCAGAAGTGCTAAATAGATGCATACTGTGCTTTTACAGAACCAGGGTGATGCCCTTGGCTCACAGGAAGGTAAATGCACAGTTTGTTTTGGTGTGATTCTGATCAAACGAGCTTGTATTTTTTGGGGTGACTTTCTGTTAAGTCTACCTGTATTCTACACTGGATATTGTCACTAGCAACATCTCTGCACATGAATTTCTGAATTGTTAATCTGGCAATGCCTCATTGTGGCAGGAGGGAGCTGGCCTGTTTGTATGCTGTCAACATATAACAGTAAAGTCAAGGCAATAAGGAGTGCCAGTAGCATGCAGCTAAAGCAAAATAGGTATTCTGTTTCCTCTCTGATTAAACGAATCCAAATGGTTTCTTGAGAGTAAAAGTTCCTTCCCGATGTGTCCAATAAATCAGAGTCAAGAGAGAAACTTTACTAATTATAAACCATGACAGTACGAAAGAGAAAATGGAAATTTCTGCCCAGTAGTTAAGTTCAAAATGTTGTTTTGGGGAGGCCTAAACATTTAAGAAATCAATCCCCTAGTGAGGAGCTCTAAACCTTATATGGTAAATTTCTCTTGGATAGAGCAGATAGGAGTGTTGCTGGGGCTGAGGTATTTGTGGCTGGTAGAGTGCAGTTCCTGAGCCACATTTTCTTTTGTTTACATCAATTTTGGTCAAATTGAAAAGCAAATGCAGCAAGATGAACCATTCCTATTATGATTCTAAAATAACATCTTCATGCTGTGAAGTTTTTCGTAATTACCAAAATTTGCTGGGCTGCAATGGGCTTGAGAGAGTTTGTAGGGACTGTTGGTGATGAGCGGAGCCTTATTTTGCCATTTCTCAGCCCCAAGATCCACAACTCTGTGTTCTTCCAGTAAGGCTTTCCCTTTAGGTAGGGATCACACAGGATTAGTTGAGAGTGGTTCTTCTCCTCCTCCCGCCTGAAATACGAGGTCTCTTCTCCCAGCAGAGGAATCACAGTGCAATACATGTCTCACAGACATAAACAGCCTACTACGGTGAGGCAGACAGGAAAATAATAGCTAGTCAATGAGCACAGAACTGAGTGTGAAAATAATGGTACCAGAATACTCTGTACTGTTGTGCTACCACTGCTTAGATTTGATGTACTGTATTCATTTAGGGCTACTGTATTATCATGGTCATGGTGTCATCCAGAGATACCATGTGAGATACATATAGCTTGGTAGTTCAGTATAGTTCAATATTCTTCTTGCAAACAGAGAAAGCTTGCCCTGTACTGCGTTCTTAGCTGCTTGTATGGATTATCTAACCTAAATTGTCAGCTGATGTTAGTTTGGTCACCTTGCTGTGATACTGCAGTCCATAGTTGTGCAATTTCATAGTATATTCCTTCCTGTAATACTTAGTTTTGAAAGCAAATGCAATTATTCAAACAAGATGATGACTGGATGTTAAAATTGAAGGACGAAATTCAGTGTAGGCTTATATAAGGGGAAAAAGAGCACACTTAATCACAAGTGTAGTTAAGTTAGGTTTGGAGTTCATTGCAAGCTCTTGGAGGTGTGGTCTTGTTAACAGAGTCAGTCCTCAGTTGTAATACTCAGTGTTTGAGATTTCTATTAAGTTAAGGGATAGTGGAACTGAGAATTTAATCAAGCTAGTAAGTAAATCCATGGATACCTCTCTTGAAAATGTGTGTAGTTTGTTTATTTCTCTATCCCTGTAGGAAGAAAAAATTACTGGGAAGACTAACAACACTGCCATACAATGTCTGTCAGTGAATAGTTTAGACTACTTTTCTACTTTCCTAAAGGGATGATTGAATGGAATATGAAATAAAGCCATGTAATTGTAGATTGTATTGCTGTGGTGAAGGTTTTGTGATTGATTGCCATATGTTTAACACCAACTGGAGAATATATCCCTGTTCATTGCAGGGGTGCTGGACTAGATGACCTTTAAGGGTCCCTTACAACTCAACCGATTCTGTGATTCTATGAAATTTGAAGGCTGCAATGATGCTTGGAATATGAAATGATTCTGCACAGAATTGTAATGTAGTTGTGAAGCTTCCCATGTCAGGCTGCTGTAGATGCTAGAAGTTTTCGTGGTTGCCAGAGGCAACTGGGTGAATCAGCGTAGCAAAAATCTGTCACAGATTAGTAAAGCTGTCTGTTAATAAGTTATGTCCCTCTATCTTCAGAAGGTCCCTGAGCTGAAAATGGACCAGGAAAGCATTTGGAGTCTATATAATAATATAATAAGTCTATATAATATATATAATATATAATAAGTCTATATAATGGACCTGTTCTTACAGATATTTGCTGCTGCTACTGTGGAGATATGATAATTGCACTGAATGAACCCACCTTGAAATGATTTTTATGTTAGTATCAGTTTAAGAGAAGAGTAATGGCACACAGACATATACTTAAGCTAAGGTATTTCTCTGAGTTTCCCCAGTAAGCAATCATTTTTATAGGAAACCTTATTCAGCATCATCTTGTGCAATTGTAAAAATAGCAGCAGTAGAATTCTTACTTTTTTCTTTCTGTCTTTCTTTCTTGTTTTTTTTTTCCTGCAGAATGTGTGGCAAAAACTGGAATGATTTTGCTTTGTGGAGAGATCACATCCCGGGCTATAGTAGATTACCAACAAATAGTAAGAGAGACCCTTAAGAGGATAGGGTATGATGACTCTTCTAAAGGTGAGATCTTTCTTTCATTCATTGTTGGATCTGCTCTGCATGTGGCCAAAATCTTGTTCCTATAATCTGCTTAAAAATGAAACAAAATGTACATCTAACCTGCAAGAAAAATGCACAGATGTTGATACATATTTTTGTGCAGATGCTGAAGAAGCTACTTGGAGGTAGAATATTCACAAAACACTTATTCTTCAAAAGACTATCTACTCCTTTCTCCTCTGTTAAAGAAAAACTAGTGTTTACTCAGTTATCTAAAAGTAGTTACATCACAAGTCTATACAGTGAAAGCTTAAGCCTTGATGATCCCTGCCCTTGGGGCGAATAAGCCTACAAAACTTGAGTTTAATTCCCAAGGGAATTCTTTATGTACTTTATGTATACATTTTCCCATGGTAGCTTCATTTCAGCAATTTAATCCCCAACACAACTATTTTCTTTCGGTTTTCCCTTTTCATATATTACTTGCATAGTTTTTCTCCAATTCTAGAACTTGAAGCAATAGCAACAACAAAAGAGTAACAATTTCTGGTAACATTTTCCACATGTGGTTTGAACCCTAGGCATCTGTATATAAGCACTGTCACAAGCTTTTGTGGGGCAGCTAGGGTTACACTTGACCTGTCAGTTTAAAAAGCTCATTTCAACTGCAACTTGCCCAGATCCTAATACTGTAAAACCAATATGCTCATATTGTCTGCTTTTGTTAGCAGTACAAAACCATGATGGTATAGGAAAGTTGTATACTTAGGTTTATTGAAGTTTTAGCCAAGGTAAGTAGATAATCCCCAAAAGCTTTTTTAGTGGATGGTAAACTCTCAACATTATATGACCTCACTTCCCAAAATTTCCTTCACTAGGATTGGACCATAAGACTTGCACAGTTCTAGTGGCCTTAGAGCAACAGTGTCAAGAGATCAAGCACGCTGTCTCCCATGGCAAGAGTGACGATGACATTGGAGCAGGGGATCAGGTAATGGGATTTTATTCTAGACACTGAAATGGAGCGTGTGCACAAGCAGTTAGATTTGAGCTAGACCAGACACTTTCCTTTATGGGCACTGCAGAAATTTAAGCGTAAGAAGTAAAGCCAAATACTTTGTATTCTCTTAACCATCAGAAGTGCAAAAACAAACAAACAGACCAAACAAACAAACAAAAAACCTCAAGCCATTAAACCAACCAAAACCATAATCTGCCAAAAACAAAGCAAACCAACCAATCAAACAAGTACAAGAAATGACATAGTCATCACTAACTTCTCTGAGAATGTCTTCTCCAGTGGCGCTGCTGGTTAGAGCTACAATTAAGCTTTTGATCAGTAGATGGCAGTGCTGGTCTTTCACGTCCTGTGGTAGCCTGGTTCTGCTTCTCAGGCTGCATTATTTCAGTTGTCGCGAATGGGGAAAAGGCAGACCAGACTCCATGAGCTTTATGTCTGTTAGGCCTCTGCAGTGAATTCTTGCGGATGATTACATCACGCTTGGGAAGCAGGCCTTTCTGTAACTCTCATTCTCGTGCAATGCAGACACATAGGTGTAATTTCAGGCTGGTTATGCCTCCGAGTGTAGTCGTTCTGCAAGTTACTGCTGTCTGTTTCTAGATTTGGCTGATTTTAAAGTATTTTGTGGCAAAGACGTGCAGAAACTAAAAGAGAACATGGAAATGGGTGGCTTAATTCCCTGTATTTCAATGCAGGGTTTGATGTTTGGCTATGCCACTGATGAAACTGAGGAATGTATGCCTTTAACAGTCCTCCTGGCACATAAGCTTACTTCAAGGATAAAGGATCTGGAACGAAATGGAACATGGCCCTGGGTTAGACCAGATGGAAAAACACAGGTTTGTAAAATAAATGCATAGATATTAGTTTACAAACTTTCACGGTGAGTAAGTACAGAAGTCACTTACCCTGTCTGTTACTAAACTGGAATATTTATATGTAATATTTAATACATGTATATACACATATATTTAAAAAATGATAGTGTTATTTTCATATTCCAAGGTGAGCTGGATTTCACAAGGTGCATTTGTGTGTAACACATATGGGAGGTTTAATCTGTTCTGCATTGTCTTTACAATTTTCTTCAAATTAACTCTGGTATTTTGCTTCTTTTCCTCTGGTGATTAGGAAGATTAACACATTACTAACAAGTTTTGTTTGTTTGTTTTTGTTTTTATTTTCTGCATAAACATGTATATTCCAGAATTTCGGATTGATAAAAAGCAGTTTCTCAGTCAGACAAAACAGGTCTGTTCCTGTGTGAAACTCCATACATGCTTATTTGACTAATCACAGAATAATAGAATCACAGAATGGCCAGGGTTGGAAGGGACCTCAAGGATCATGAATCTCCAACTCCCCTGCCACATGCAGGGCCACCAACCTCCACGTTTAATAGTAGACCAGGCTGTCCAGGGCCCCATCCAACCTGGCCTTGAACACCCTTAGCGACGGGGCATCCACAGCCTCTCTGGGCAGCCTGTTCCAGCACCTCACTACTCTCACAGTAAAGAACTTCCCCCTGACATCCAACCTCAATCTTCCCTCCCTCAAAACCATTTCCCCTTTCTGCAGTTATCTACCCTTTCAAAGAGTTGATTCCCCTCCTGTTTGTGGGCTCCCTTTAGATTGAAAGGCTGCAATGAGGTCACCCCGCAGCCTTCTTTTCTTCATGCTGAACAAGCCCAGCTCCCTCAGCCTGTCTTCATAGGGAGGTGCTCCAGTCCCCTGATCATCTTGGTGGCTCTCCTCTGGACCCTCTCCAACAGCTCCCTGTCTTTCTTGTACTGGGAGCTCCAGATCTGGACACATGGACTAATGATCAGAGCCACTGATGGCTGTGTTACAGAGTAGATGAGTCACTGAGGCACACTGTAACAAGAGTGCACTTGGTCAGTCTCAAAGGCTGTCCTTCCAGGCTTTCAAATCTGCAGAAGAGGAGTGGAAATCCACAAATGTTACGCTTCCAAGGCAGCACATTGTCCTATTCTTATATTCTATTGCTTTGATGCAAATAAACTGTACTGAATTATACTGCTACAGCTGTTACAGCAGCAGTACAGCAACATGGATAACCTGTACCTTTTGTTGGCAGTGTGAATAGACGGGTTTCTTCTCACTGTATGTATCCAAACTTGCTTGGAGGGTAGAAAACTAGAGAAATCTTAGTCTACAAGAACACTAAAGGTGGAGCAGTGTCATGTATTTGTATGTATATAAAAGCTGTTCAAAGGGTAGCGAAGAATACAGATCACCATATCATCAACCACATTTACTCATTTCAGCAGAGATCTCCAAATGTTATTTTGATTTTACTTTGGAGGCTTACTATTTGAAGTTATCTTACCATGCAAAACTAAATGAGTTTAGCTTCTGCCAGGAACAATCCTAGGCAGAATCCTTCTGTATGGAAGTGATTTGTCTTTTTTTTTTTTTTTTTTTACTGTATGTGTAAATACAGGCAATATCCTTTACTTTTGGTAATGATGCTTTAGCACTTTTCCTACAGTGATACTAAATGTCAGCAATAATATGTTATTTTTCTTCTCCTTTCCCTACACTTATTATTATTATTGTTATTATTATTATTTTTATTTGCTGTAGAAAAGAACTATGAAGTTCTTTCTAAATTTTCAGACTAGTGTTCTACATGAAGAAGTGTGCTCTAAGGGTTTTCCTGGCCTTGATTCGGTACCTTTTTTTCTTTCCAGGTCACTATGGAATACAAGGAGAGTGATGGAGCAGTGGAACCCATCCGAGTGCATACAGTTGTGATCTCAGTACATCATGCCCCAGATGTACCTCTACAACACATACAAAAGGAGCTAATGGAGAAAGTTGTTAAAGAAGTCATTCCAGAGAAGTATCTCGATGAAGACACAATTTATCATCTCCTTCCAAGTGAGAAATTTGTAGAAGGTGGTCCTAAGGTATGGTACTTTGAAAGTAGAAAGGATAAAGAGACTTGGATTCAGAGAGCCTGAACAAACTTTGCCACATGTTTCTAAACGTTCTCTTGCACTGGTATACCTTCAATGAATAAAGTATAAATATTTTTCAGGAATCTTCAGTCACTGCTACTGAAGTTTTTGTACTGGACAGCTTGCATTGAAACTGAGCTTTACATGCTTGGATAGGCAAATGTCAAAATCTCTGTATTGGTCCCAGAAGGTGTTTTTAAATGACCAAAAGTCAGCCTTTAAGTTACATGTTAAAATATCTGACAAGTGGTTTGTCTGTGCTTTCACAGTAAAACAAAGAAACAAATGCACATACACACACACACACACACACAGAAACAAACAAAAAGACTCAGAATTAACAACACCTTCTATAAATGGGCTTTTATGTATGTGTGTATTTCCATATTTGAATTATGCAGAAAAGCTGCACAAATTTCAGTGGAGACCTTAATGCACCAAGCCCCTCAGCACTCATCAGAATTTGACTTGTGTTCTACTTTCCAGGAGCTAGGAAGTTATAAGCAGGTCATTACTATGAAAAGGTAAAAAGTTTTGCTGCACTTTTTTTTCAGTTTCGTAAAAGGTGTTTCAGGAAGGACCAAAACTACAAGGTGTGCTCGTACTGTGGTGAAGTAGAGAAACTGCTTTCACTGAAGAATAAATATCAGTGTTACTCTGGTATCATTTATTTGAATATTTAAAGTTAGTGGATTAATACAGTTTGTGCTCTTTCAAGATGGAATTTCTTGACATTCCGAGTTCATTTATCAGCTTGCAGTCACCAACTTTATTAATCTCACAGAAAGGCAGTAATTCTCTGCTGGCTGAATAAGTTAAAACATTTCATCAAGTTGTGGGAAGTAGGCCAAACAGCATGCAAAAGTGTTGCTAAGGACAAAGGCTGACAGGAAGAAGAAAGGAGAAATACCAAATTGCTCTTGTGCCACCAGAGAACTGTTTGGTGAACTCACAGTATTTCAGTGCTCTTGTCCTACGCAATTCTGAACTGTAGCCCCATGAAATTAATTCTTCCTCTGTAGTATGTGTATGTAAATGGATCTTGTTGACCTCTTAGGCTACATATGATCTGTTCTTCAGCAAGACTTTTGTCTTTCTAAATTCTTCACCTTTGTCACGTGTAGTGAAGTAATAGATCAGTACTTTGACACTATGAATTTGCAGGGAGCAGTCTTTTTGTCATGTTTACTGTTATGCCACATTCTTATCTTCAAAAGTTATTGCATCACAGATGTTACCAACAGTGATGGTACCATCAGTTAGTGAAAAATAATCCAGTCCTGTGGAGCTCATTCATTAAACAGTTGTAAGCAAAAACAAATGTGCTTAACATTAAATTTTCTTTGTGGAAAATACAACAAAACAAAACGATACCAATAACATAGTATGGAATTGGATAAACTGTTGTGTTTCATGAGTATTCAACTGCTTGTTCTGCAGAGTGATGCTGGTCTGACTGGTAGGAAGATCATTGTTGATACATATGGAGGTTGGGGAGCCCATGGTGGAGGAGCTTTCTCTGGAAAAGACCCATCCAAAGTTGATCGTTCTGCAGCATATGCAGCTCGATGGGTTGCAAAATCTCTGGTGAAAGCTGGTCTCTGTAAAAGAGTATTAATACAGGTAAGAGCAACTGTGAAATTAATAGATCATAACAGACAATCTATCCCTTGTGTGGCCATTCCTTCAGAACACATGCTTGCAATCTCAGTCACAGTCCAGTCTAAGGCCAGAAAGCACCTGGAACAAGGAGTGTTCTCAGTAATGTTCTTTCTCCAGTTGTGTTGCTATCCCTGCTCCCAGCACCTCTTTGCATTATCACTGCTTTTACTGCAGCAACTCAGCTGATGCTCTGCATACACATTCATTCCCAGCACTTCAAACTGGGCTTTACTGCACATCGCAGTTATGTTAGCAGTGTCTTGGTTATGTAATCCGCGCTTCTGAATAGCCAAATTATTTGTATCTTAAAGCACATTAAGCTATATTTGAAAATACCCTAAAGTTACTGTGAGTGGACTCCACTATGGTGCTAAGTGTGACTAAAAATAAAATACAATCATATGAATATTTGTTTTCTAAAAGCTTGAAACAAGAAGAGCATTCATCATCAGAAGAAAAGCATTTCCTTCCTTGGGTATGAATTTTTGGGACTCCTAAGTCTCAGCTGGAAGCAGGTGTTTTATTGGCACCTAGACAGTTATGCTATTGGTTGGAACCCAAACTGAATGCTAAAACATGGAGATTTGTCTAGGCATTTTGCAATACTTGTTCATATACATATTTATTCCAAGTAGCTGCTACGTAGTAGCTTTAACTCAGGATGTTAAAATGTAGCAGTGATCTTGCTGGTATTTTTCTGGAGAAATGAGTTTAAGAACCCTTTATTTACATACACAGTGATGTAATGCCAGACATCTCAATTAGGAACAAGATCTCTTGCTTTAGGTGTGCGTGTGTTTTACATGTGCAGTAAGACAAGTTAAGGGCAGACAGAACAGGGAGTGCACATTAGCAAATCTCTCTCTCTCTCTTTTTTTTTTTTAATTCCCTTCTCTGAGGTGACAGAAGACATCTGGCTTCCTGGGATACACATTTTTAGTGGTATTTTGGAACACATACACCATTGTCTTAATTCTTCAGTCAGGTGGGAATGTTATTGTTTCATAACTCTGAGAGATCCTCCTTAAATTCCCAAGCCTGGCTTTAGATATCGCAAGACTAATGTTGTTAATAGCAAACTTGGAGATGTCAGATATTAACAGTGAAACTAAGAAAGGAGGAGAGAAGACAATGAGAGCAGAAAAGCAAAGGTTTTGTTAAATCATTGGAGTCTGGATTAAAGATAATGAAAATAAAAACGTATCAAACAGAATTAGAAACATGTTTTCAGTGCTGTTGTAGCTGTATGCTGGATTAAGACCTCGCTGGCCTTCAATTAGCCTGATAATTGAGCTGGCTTTGCAATGGACATTGTTTCCTTGCTAGCCAGCCTGTAATACTGAAAAGCTAAAACAATGGTGGGAACTACAGACTGATCAGCTGTTCAATATCACAGATGCTACATATGTTTTATTTAGTACGACATAAAATTACTAGCTTATTTGTTAATAAAAAAGTGGCCTAACTTTAGTCCTAACATTAGGCTTAACTAAAAGGACAAATAGCAAAAGCATATTCCCTATATATATATAGGGAATATATATATATGAAAGTACATGTGATCTTCCCTTGATAAATGAGATAGCCATTTCCTTTCTCAGAGGCAAAATGTAGGAAGGAGTGTTTTAACTGCATCTGGGTTACATGCATGTCTTCCACAGCTATCATACGCTATTGGTCTGAGTCATCCTCTTGCAATCTCTGTGTTTCATTATGGAACCTCAGACAGATCTGAAGAAGAGCTGCTTGAGATTGTACAGAAAAACTTTGACCTACGTCTTGGAGCTATCATAAGGTTTGTGTGCTGTTAGTATTTGTGAAATAAATCACATTCTTACTATTCTTTTAACAGTTTAATATTCAAGTTTCTGGCTCCTTACCTCCCAAAAGTCACCTTCATCATATGTCTAATATTGCTGTCATTTCTGCTGTTGCCTCTCCCACACACTCAGTATGATATACAAAGGGCCAACTCTCAAATCTGGTCACAAGATACTGAGTAAGGAAGACTTGCGTCAATTATTCAATGTTTCATCTCTCAGTAACAGTGGTAGTGTGTTGTGTTGCAGTTTATTAGCCAGGTAGCAGCGTACTTGATAAAGTACAATTAAAATTTAATATCAGATGCAGATAGGTTTTTCAAACAGTCTGTTTTAGGGGTACGTAAGCCTCCAAATCCCAGATTTATCTGGAAGGCATCAGAAAGACTGGTCTTTACTGAAGAAAATTAAACAGGGTCTCCCTGCCCTTAATCTTTAGATAGCGACAGTTTGTGAGACAGTTGCCACAAGATGACAAGATTCTGGTGTCCTCACTTCACAAGCAGTCCCTTTGAAATGAGTGGGATGTTTTAGTGTTTGCCACTGCATTTCTGGGAATATTGGCCATTAGCCCAGAAAAGAAAATAACATTTTTAAGTTACTGGCTTCTTCAAGCCTTTATTCTGCATCAGAAAATCTGAGCAATGAGACCCTGTCACTAGTTGTCATACAGCCCTACGTAGCCTGTTTGAAGTCAACTGAATTTGATTTAAAAGGAATACAGATTTCTTAAACACTTTCATAAACCTTGATAAGAGATTGAAGTATCTTGTGTTTAAAAAAAGGGGGGGAGGGGGACGGGGGGAAGGAAGGGAAAAGTAAAAAGAAAAAAGGAAAAGCCCACCATGAAATGAACTGTCTTGAAGTGAAAATTCAGTTGTGTTCAGAAGCATGAGTCATTGAGCCTACCATGTAGTCAGTGAGGACACAGAAACCCCCTGCACCCAACTCAGCCATATATCTTTCTGAAATATTTCTGGGCCTGAGCAAGAAGGTGTTTTAGACAGATATTAGTCCTTATACTTAAAAAAGCATGGAAATTATCCTGTTCTCTCAGAGGAAGGGCTGGAAGAGGGAAGTAGATTTAGCATCTGTACTTATCAGCAGTGATTGACCTCCATACAGTGTAGCTGTTATTTGATCTTAATGTTTTTCCTGATTAACTCATGATTCTTTAGGTGAACCCTTAGGAGGTAGAGGTTGTTGCGAATTTGCAGTCTGTCTTCCACAGACCTAATGGTAGAGGTTCAATTTCTCAGTCCTAAAGAACTTTTGAATCTCCTGGCTGATTCTCACCTCTTTTTTTCCTATTAAGGAAGCTACCACATTGTGAATTCATCCCTTATTAAGCTTCATAAAATTTGGCATTGGAGCTTAAGTCTGAGATAGGTACCAGCAGGAGTATGATTTCATGCATCACAGAATCACTTTGTCACTTTCAGCAATGCTAGTTTTAACACTAGCTTAATGTTAACACATTTATTTGAGTGAACTGCTCTAAATGATTTACTTCTCTTTTCCCTCTGGAGCTATTCCTATCATTCTAGTCTATTTTCTAGTCTATTTATATATCTTTCTAGTCTATCTATCTAGTCTATTCTAGACTATATTCTGTAGGAATCTTTACTGTCTTTTATTCTGAGGGGTAAAATGCCAACATCTGAATGAATGAATAGGGGGTTCTTTTGTTCCTTGAAATGAGAGCCAGCTCTCAGAATCAAGCCTTAGCAACACATTTTTCTGGTTGGGCCAACCTTTTGCACTTCTTTTTAGGATCTTGCCTGAACATATATACTGACAATAGAGCTAGCTTCCCCCCCCGCAAATATTTTGAGATAATGCAAAACATTTTAGCAACTCAAGTTGCCAGGTAACATTTCTAAGTGTTAACAGCTTAAAACTCCTCTGTGCCTTTGTAATTATGTTAGTTCATCACCATCAGTAACTACCAGACACTTTCCTTGATTGAATGTGTTCAAAAATGCCACGTTTTTATCGTACATTTTCCTAAACCTGAAATGATAAAAACATTACAAAAGGAGAAGCAAGCAAGCAAAACCAAGAACATTGTATAGTGAATATTTCCTTGTTAAGCTTTACCCCATGACCTTCAAAGTTATTTAAATGGTCTGATTATCAGTTCTGAGCAACTAAGCCTCAAAACACTTCATGCTGTTTCACTTTTCATCTAGTCAGAACTCATATTTTGATGGCTTTTCTACTGGGGTCAAGTACAAATGACCGCTCTGGCTCTTGGAGAGTTTGACCATATTGCAGAAAATATTTGAGATTTAGCTGCTGTATACCATGAGATCAACAAAATGATCCCTTAAGTGTGAGAATATGTAATACCTTTACCATCTGAAATAGATTAACTATGCTACTAGTATTTGCTTTTCTTTCCTTACTCTGCTATTTCCAAGACAGTTTTCAAGGTAAGAACAATCTATTTTAAACATGCTTTCAAATGCAATTAAATAGAATAATAAATATAAGAAAGCACAGATAGAAGAAAACGTATCAGGCCTTATAATAAAGAGAAACATCTGTGTGGATACCTGTGACTAACCATTTAGCATAGCTGCAGTCCACTACATAGTACAGACTGAAAAACAATGATCATGACTTGCATGTTTACTATTTATCTAATCATAATTACTATTAAGCCCTATTCTAATTATTTCATGCACCTTTGCTTCTTTTGAGATCACCATTGTCTTTATAGCATAGTAGCATCAGAAAATATTCTGTAGTACACTTAAAATAAGACAAAATACATTAATGCTTGCACAATTGCACCTAAGCTTTATTCCAATTGCAGTGCTTCTGCATCACAAAGTCTAAAAAGCCTTATTAATTTGTATTTGATAGATCTGAATAAAGCTGACTGTAATTACTTTAAATTGAAGCCCTCATTTTACTACTTTTGCTGCTATAAATCTGTGTGGCTGTGCAAGGAAACAATGCCTAACTCATTTTTCTTCCAGGGATAATACTAATTGTCCCTCTGATACATATAAATCACAAAACATGTTGGATTTTTTTTTTTTTTTCTTTTCATTTAGGGAGCTGGATTTGAAGAGGCCAATCTATCAAAAAACAGCATGCTATGGGCACTTTGGGAGAGAAGAATTTACATGGGAAATACCCAAAAAGCTTGTGTATTAAGCTTTTCAGAATGCTTCAGTTAACTGACAGGTGGTTTGACAATCAGGTACAACTTCAAGCTGTTCACATAAAGACTGCACCTACTCTTGTTTTAAAATGACACTGTGTAGCTAACAGATGTACTAAAAATCGTATGTATTCAAATTCTAACTTTCAACTTCAAACGCATGCAGCTCTATCCAGCATACTCCAGCTTTGTCTTTGGTAACATGAACAATTTAGGCCTTCGGCTCTGATAAGAATTTAAGTGCACAGATGACTGTGGGAACTGAAGTCAGTACAGTACTGCCAGGGAGGCTGGCTGCTGCTTACCCAGTTAACTTCGTGTTGAAGTACGTGAGGTACCTTCAAATAGCCCTCTGCAAAAGGAAAAACAGTAATAGATCTATTTGTCTTAATGCTTTGGGCAGTGACTTCTACAACTACCATTTCCTTTGGTCCAAGCAAGTTAGTAGAAATACTTGTTTCAGAACGTGGGCATTGTAACTCTAGATGAAGTTAGATCTGAATTAGTGTTACATTTGCTTGGACTGTCGTAATTTTCTAATGAGCTTGTGTGTTGTAATTCTTCTACTCATTTATTGTTACTCCCTTAAAACTGCAGTTTTCCATGTCCGCAGTTGGATGATTTTGTTAAGTTTCATTGAGCCACTGAATGAAATGTGGAAGTTTTTTTGTAAAAAAAAACTTAAAATTGGAGGGCATTACCTTCTTTTGAATTCTCTAGCTGAAAGCACAAATTGAAGAAAGAATTCAAAGTCATTCACTTTTTCTTTAAGGACTGGAAAATATGAGAAGGCTTGTATACAGGAAGTAGCACTACATATCTAATCTCCAGAGCTTCTATCTAAATATTTTAACAGATTTTCTAATAACTATTTATCATGGGGTAGCTAATTTGCCCAGTGTAAAGTTTTCCTCAAGAACAGTAAAAGATGTGTGCTTTGTTGTGCTTAATACAATACCAGAGATGAAGCAATTTCTCCACAAAATCAATGAACATCTTTTCAAATGTTCCCATTATCATTCTAGAAATGAATTACTTAAACTGTGGCTTCAGAAATGAAAAATGATGCCCAGAGCAGACATGAGCAGCAAGATTGCTGAAAATTTAGCTAAATTAAAATGTTGCCTATATAGAGGGATCAATCAAAATATTTGTATCTCCAAATGTTGCAAGTGCTGCTTTATTATACACGTTAATTTAATGTCAAATAAGCAGGCTCTTCTTTGAAATGCATGGCTACAATATGTTATGTAAATCTCTCAAAATACAGTGGCTCATAATCTATGTAAGAAATAAACCATAATCACACACCAGAGTGAAACACATGACAGTGTAACTGCTGCATGGATATTCTGATAATAAAGTTACATGTATGAAAGAAACATGTTATTGTAAAATTATTTGAGTATAACATAGAGTATAACATGTAGAGGTATTAGTTGCAGTTCTAGGGAAAAAATAAATCAAATAATGAATTTAGATATCCACTTCCAAAATCTAATGGCTTTTATGAGAGTCCCTGAGGCAGAATTAAGCCTAAAGCTTTCAAAAAGGCATAGTTTCACTCAAACTTAGACAAGCCAACTACAGAACAAAACAGAAGTGCCAGCCCAGCTATGAAAGTGCCTGTCTTTCTCATCTCAGAAGAGATGAAGTGTTTCTGCAGGCGAAATGCAGACATTAATACTAAGAAAGGTCAAAACCTGTTCTGTTTGCTTTGTGTCAGAATTAGCTTAATGACTCATGCTTTCAGAGTATTTCATGAGAGCTACTGCATCAAAAAATACAAGCTGAGCTCAGCCTAATAAATCTTATCTAGGTCCATGCAGACATTATGTATCTCATTTTGCTAGCTGTATTTCTTTTAAATGCTACAGAAAGATGCAAAATGGAATGCTTATTCATTACTCTTTAATTCATTTAATTCCTAATGAGCTGAAAGCAATTACTGATATGGAAATAAAAGTGCATATCATTACTAAATGCTAGTAAACAGAACAAACTTGTCATTTAATAATACCTCAATTTATAGCTCTCCACTGCCTTGACCTTACGATAGGTCAAAAAGGAAATCTCTTCTTTACTACCTTCCCCATCCAAGACTTTTGGTCTAAGTACTCTTGGCTTCTTCTGGGTGAGGCTGTAGAAGGAAGAGGAGTGGATGAGAATAAAAATAGGAAGACAAGAGCATAACTTTCTCATCAGGATCTCAACAGTCCTGTAGCAGTCCGTTCTGTTTGTCAGAACTGGCATGCAAGTTAGCCTTGTTTTCTTCTGCTTTCCAGGATGCCAACATAAAAACAGGTAGGCCTTACTGCCTTTATCAACTTTCAACGAAAACATCCAGAAGACTCTCAAGATGTGTAAATAACAAATGAGATGTTAATCTTTTTGGCCAAGTACTGTTAAAATTGAAGTATTACACATTATACCAAAAAAAAAAAAAAAAAAAAAAAAAAAAAAAAAAAAAAAAGCTTAACTTCATTACTGCAGAGATTTTTTGAAACAGTTGCACATATTCCAAACCCTGTCCTACTTCGCAGTCTGCTTGTCAACTCAGCTGAATAAAGATGGGAAGTGAGATATTACACTGTCATTCTTTCCAACTTTTGTCCAGGAAAACCTTAACTAAGACAAACCTCTCTTAGCATATCTGTAGTAGCTGGGGATGTGAAATCTATCCTGACTTTTCCAAGTGTAGCATTCTTGCTTCTTATCCTACTTTTTTTTTTTTTTTTTTTTCCTTATAATTCCTTTACTTGCAAAATGGTTACTTTCCTGCAATCTTTCTTATAACGAATTCCCAATGGAATCTGTCATGTAATGTAGATGTCATGCTTGGTGCCTATTTGCATGCAATTTTTTCACTGAAATTTTGAGTTGTTTACTTCTTGTGCTAAGATCCTTTCTCAATAGCCACATCAAATTACTTTTCTAGATGATGTAGTACAAAATGAAAGTTTAAATAAAATCAATTTGCTATTTTTTATACTTCAAAGATGCACATACATACTGACAGGGAACCAAGACTTATGCAAGATTCTAAGGGTATTTCAAACAGGCATGAGCCTGTACTGCTGCTGAAAGAGATACGTCTGCTGTTTTGTCAGTGGTTTCTTCAAGTTTTTTGAGCTGTGTCTTTTGTGCTGGGGTGAACATGACACTTAGTTGAGAATCCATCAGGAACTGTTAAAGAGAGTTGGCAGAAGAAGAAAAAAGAAAGGAGGTCACTAGCCTGGGTCATTCAGTCTGTTACTGAAGATAAGGAAGAAGTCTCAATTTTCATTTAAGCTAAAGTCTAAACTCCAGTTGTTTCATGTTCCCCTTTTGATGCAGTTCTTCTTCTGGGAATCAGAAAGATGCTAACAAAATCCAAACCTTTATGTGCAGAAGAATTGAATCTCTGGTTCCTCACAAAGATCCTGTTCCTTTTCCAGTGGGGGCCTTATGTGAATGATTCTTAAAAGAGGAATGTGCAGGTTAAGTTAGGACAAGGGCAAAATTTGTTGAACGGCATGGTGTAGTAAGCCTATCTAACAGTGTCTGCTAGTCTCAAATAATTCTAGCCTTTGCCTGAAAAACAAATCTGAAGAAGTCAAAAACAAAAACAGGCTGAAGGTAGGATGCTCCTGATGTCAATACAGAGTCTGCTGTTCTCTAAGTGCTGATAGTGGTATGGCTTATAACAGTAAAAGACATTGTTTACCTAGAGGTCGAATCAAAAACAGCAGCTGACTTCTGTTACAAATAGAAGGAAGTTCTCCATATAATCCAACTTTAATAAACATTATTTTTTCTTTCGTAAAAGGCAAAAAACATTGCAATCTCACTGCACATCTGCTACTGCTTAAGACCACACTTCTTGATTACTAAGGCATTACAGCTCAGTGAAGGAAGCACAGCATTACAGCCATGCAGCTGTACTTTACCCATAAGTGCAAATTAAAGGCATGGAACTACATCGGGGAAAGTCGGGTGGGGGTCAGGGAAAGGGTCTGCACCGGTGGGTGGTGGGCATGGAACGGGCTGCACAAGGCAGTGGCAGCGGCCCTGAGCTCAGTGAATTCAAGGCGCATTTGGGCACTGCTCTCAGATGTAGGGTTTGAGTTTTGGGTGGCACTGTGCGGAGCCAGGGGCTGCAAACAGTGGTCGTTATGGGTTCCTTCCAACTTGGGTTGCTCTATGGTTCTATGATTCCTATGTGAAGAACAGCAAGTCGTCAGTTTGTGGAGGCTGACTGAGAAATACCACTTTATTACTCATCATCAACACGGGACAGAACCAGCACAGCTATCTGAGCCCCCAAGGAACTTGATGACGACTGTGACTGCATCAGCGATAGCTATTGAAGGCAGCAGACAGGAAGTGAGGACAGGACTTTCGGAGGAGACATTGTGGCTTCCAGCGCTCCTCCCACTAGCAAGCAGTCTCACTGCACGGACCTTAAACCCAACCGCCGCAAAGGGCGGCAAAGCGATCTTCCCCGGGGGGGGGGCGTGGCTTTTACAGAAGGGGCGCGGGTTCCAGAGAGAGGGCGTGTCCGACCGCACGGCGCGCCGGGCCGAGGGGCGGCAGGAGGGAGGTGGCGGCGTGAGGTCAAAAGTGACGTAGCGTTCCCGGAAGCAGACCGGAGCTGAGGGTACGGTGGCTGAGGAGGCCGTCCCACGCCGCGGTCGGTAGCTCGGCGGAGCCCCCCGCACCCACCTCTCTCCTCCCTACTTCTTCTCCCTCCGTGCTGCCCGGGCAGCGCGGGCCGAAGCCAGGTGGAGCCATGTCGCTTCTCCAGTCCGCCCTGGACTTCCTGGCGGGCCCCGGCACCCTGGGGGCCGCCAGCCGCGATCAGAACGACTTCGTAGGGCAGACAGTGGAGATGGGCGAGATGAAGCTGCGCATCAGGCGGATCATCGCGGAGGGTAAGGCCGGGACGCGATGGCGGCGGCCGGGCGGGGCCGCGCTGCGCTGCGCTGCGGGAGGCCTTCCCGCGGGCCGCTGCCCCCAGCTGCGGGGCCAGCCGCGGGCGGGCGGTGCTCGGCAGCGGCTGGCTGGGGCGGGGGGCTGCCGGTGCCGTCGTTTCCTCGTGCCTTGTGGAGCCAGCGCCTTGTCACGGTACTGGATTGAAAGCGCAGGACCTGAGCTGGGAAGGACGCACGGGGATCCGCACTGTCGACTCCGCACTGTACCCCCCCCAGAATCCAACCCTATGAACGGTGTCCAAATGCCCCCTGAGCACCAGCAACTCGGGGCCGTGCCCGCTGCCCCGTGCAGCCCATTCCATGCCCACCACCCTCCGGTGCAGATCCTTTCCCTGACTGCCACCCTACCTAACCCTGGCAGGGGTGATGTGGTTGCCCAGTGGGGGTGGTGGAGTCATTATCTGTGGAGTTGTTCAAGAATCACATAGTTGTGATCACAGAATGGCCCGGGTTGGAAGCGACCTCAAAGATCAGGAATCTCAAACCGCCCTGACACCAGCAGGGCCACCAACCTCTGCATGTAACACCAGACCAGGCTGCCCGAGGCCCCATCCAACCTGGCAGTGAACACTTACGGGGATGGGGCATCCACAGCCTCTCTGAGCAGGCTATTCCAGCACCTCACTACTCACATAGTAAAGAGCTTCCCCCTGAATGATCCGTAGGGATATGGTGTGGTGGCCAACGATGTGGACAGCTGGACTAGGTAATCTTGGAGGTCTTTTCCAACCTTGATGATTCCATAAGCTTGTAAAACTGCATTAGTGATTTCTGACCAGCTGGCTGGCCTCAAAGACCATTGTGTTATTGCAGTGTGAAATGTGAGGTTTTGGTAATCTTTGCTACACAGAATGCAGGACACATCGCTTAGGACCCTGTGGTCAGGGAGGAAATGAAAGCATGTAACTTCTGAAAGAGAATTTCTGCAGTCAAAAGTGGAAGGCTTGGAATTTCCTTGAATGCAGATGTATCAGCAGTCTCAAGGTTTTGCCAACAAGAAGGGAGTAGAAGTACAGGAAAGTCTGCAGACACAACTACCCCGCACTGGGCTTCTTTGGGGCAGTTTTCACTTTCAGTGAAAATTTTCGGATAGACATTGTAGCACACTGCTTGGTAGCCTATTCTGAGATAGATACAGTGTTTGGTGTGTGTGTGTGCGCGCGCGCGATAATTAGATTTTAGTAGAAATTAGGATCATATGCTTATTTTCAGAGGAATTTTTTTTGTCTTCAACCAGAAGGAACGTTGGAGGCTTGTCTTGAGATGAAAAATGGGAAATTTGTTATTATTTATACATAATTCATGAACTTTGCCCATTATGTTGCTGTTTTTTTAGGATTGAGCAAAGGAACAGCAAAGGAAAAGCTGGCCAGGCAGGTACTGTCAAGAGAAATATTTAATTCTTGGTTCTGAAGCAAGTATTTCGTACTTGAGCAGCAGCTCACCTTCTAAAATGTTGGAGTAGAGATGCCGGTTAGATGATTTCAAGCATATAGAGATGTGCTTTAAGTCTAACCCTCATAACATGCGTTGTCACCAGTTTCTGGTGTTCCTTATTTGCCTTGGTATTAAAGGTTTTACTTTCCCTTTCACTGACTGAAACCACTCTTAACAGCTTGTGTGTGCTAAGAGGTAAGACTTTCTACCCAACACAGCGGTGCTAAAACAATCTTTTGGTATATTCAGTATTCATGCAACTGCAGATTGCAATAGTGAACTTGTGCTGACACCTGGAAGTCTTCTGGGGACAATTTGTGTGTGTCAGCTGTTGCAAGAGTCTTGCTTTGTTAATCACTTTCTCAAAACAAACAACCAGCAATAACCAACATAAAAACAAAGGAAGAAAAACCATCACGCACAAAAAAAACTCAGCGATTTTTCAGTAGGAAACTTACATGTGGTGGAATAAATGTTCCATTCTCTTCTGCTGTTTTTAGAGTTAGATCAGGAATGTTTGTGTATTGGATTTAGTATGATTTGTTGCAGAAATTGAACTTTTCAACTCACCCTGAGCCTTGGGCTTGATGATTTCTCAGAAATGCATATCTGTGGCTTAAGAGCAGCCCCTCCAGTGCTAAACACATTGAAAGTCTTTTTCTTTTAAATGAGTTTTCATGGCAGATTCCACAGCGGAAATTCAAGTGGGGCTTTCAGAATTTACATTTCAAATCTGCAGTGAAATGTATCTGGATAGGAGATGTGTGGAGATGACCTTTTCTGTAAGGCAGTACAATTTCCTTTGCTTTTAGTTGGTGTGAGTGGAGCCTGTGGGTTAGCATTATGGAATACAATGTGGCAGGGGTTAATTTGGCTGTTCTTGCACCTTGCAGCTCTTTCCAGCTGCTCTTTCCAGTGTCTGTCTGCACTGGTGTAAATGTATGTGCACCCACACTGTAAACCAAGACACTAGTTACACAGTTCACGTAAGTGTGCTTCCCTCACTGTTATGCAGAAATGCTGCAGCAGGAGTGGGTCTGAGCCCATGGTATGTGCTGCCACAGCTTCTCTGGGCAGCCTGTGCCACTGCCTCGCTGGCTGGTGAGTTGAAGCTTCTGCTTTGCATCTATGAGCCTATCCATTTTCTGCTCAAACTCAGTGTCTCCTGTGACATTGTCCAGGCTGTTTCTGTGACTAGGTTTGGAATCTCCACTTGCTCTTACTTCAACCACACCATGATTTTCACCTTGAGGGAGGTAGGTCAGTCGGTATCTTTGTCATCCTCCCTGTTAAAATGATCCAGAGCAGAAGACTTTCTTCAATCCTTAGGTTAGTAGCAGATTGATGATTTATTTCACAATCTATATTAAAGTTAATAATCTTCATAAATAAAAATAATCTTTATAAATTTCCATCGCTGTTACTAGCTCCACACTGTGTACTTGAGTTGCTCTTTATTTCATTTCAGCTACCGATCTTCTCTTGCTCGGAATCACCTTTGCTCTCTTCTGCTTCTTCCCTCATGTTTTCCTTCATGGCATCTCTCAGATCAGACATTTGCTTTTAATAGTAAACTAACTTGAAGGAACTGGTTAGCCTCTATGTTTTCTACTTCAACATTTCAATAGTTAATTGTGGCTAAGTAATTTTAGAGGAAGTGAGTCAGTGCCTTTACGTTTACTCTCTTCTTGCCCTTCATGTACTTCTGGTTTCAGTGCTTGTTATGGTTCTTTGGGGTCTGCCAGTTAAGTCTCATACTGCCATGAAATTCTACTTAACTAAATATTGATTACATGGCTAGTTGGTTACTTTGACTAATATGGTAGTATCTTTTTTGCTTTCATGTGGGCTACATCTTTCATATGCCCACGCATCACTCACCAGTCTCAGTATTTTGTACTTGTTTTTGTCACTGCATGAACATCTGTTCTTACCAGGCAGTCTGGATGCATGAAGTCCAATTACATGTGGCAGATGTCTTCTGATGCTTTCTGTTGACTTTGAGTTTTACTGTGTTAAGTGTCCTTCTCCTTTGTTCAGGAATGCTTAACTTCCTGTATCATTCTGTACGAGATAGCTGAGGAACTCAGGCTGTTGTGGCTGGTTCAGCTATCAATACACCTGCATATTTGACCTTGTAAGAGTGGTTGGGAATAGGTGATTGGAGCAGGCTAAACGGTAGTCCTCAGAAATTAGTGTCTTATTTCTCAATCCTGAAAGTTGGCATATTTGTGTAGTAACACTGCAAGTTTGTTTTCTAAATGCTGGGTGTTGCTGGCTGTCCATTTTCCCTGTCTAGGACAAAGAATCACTTACAGTAAGCCTTATGCTTGTTTGCTTGTTAATAGTGACATTCAATGGTGATGAATAGGGAAATTTTGTTGTCTCCACCTGTCCTGTAGGAATAATAAAACCTGCTCACTGAGCTGTCAAAATATTAATTGAGAAACTGTCAATGTCAGACCATCAGTGAATTACAGGAACTTGTTTTGGTGTCATTCCTTTATTCTGTCCAGGAATGCTACTGCAAGGAGAGGGTAAATTAAATTGGCTTCAGTATTGTATTAGTATTATTCATTATAACTGAAGAGGGAGAGGCACACTTGCTCTGTGCTGAATGAGTACGTAATAAAATACCTTTACTTTTTAGAGCGTGTATCTGAAAGATGGGATGACAATTTAATAGTTAATGTAAGATGTTGACAAAACTGCTTATGTACTTAAAAATTATGCACTGTTTAAATATATCTTATTCCTTCAGTATTTCTAGTGAGTTTATTTTGTAAAAGCAGTTTGTGGAGAGTGTGATGGGGTAGCAGAAACAGTTACAAGAGTTCATAAATTGTTTCCTATTTTGTTGATGAAGTAAAAATATATCAAGTGTAGAGAACTTCAAGTTGCTTTCTAGCAGTAAGCAGAAGCTTGAGTTGATGCACTAAACGTAAACTGATATTTTTCAGTGTCTCCTAAGTTTGTACCAATAAATTTCTGCAAGTTTTATGTTAAGTAATTAGGCAGTGCTTCTAAGGGCTCTCACAGTGTGTTAAAGATCAATTAGCAAATTCACTAGTAATTCCAATTGCCTCTCAGTGCATAATAAAATCTTCCTAGGAGTATTTCATTAGCAGTGAAATGTTAACTTGAGAACTGCTGTCTTGTTTTATGGGTTAAATAATAAATTATCAAAGTGTTCTTTTTCATCTTGTAATTTTTCTGGAGCAGAGATCACAGTACGGGAAAATTAATCTTTAAGTAAATTAGAGTCTTTTTCTTCTGTGAGATAAATCATATACAAAATAGTCCTCTATCAGTGTTTTGGTGTCTTTTTTAAAAATACTTTGACTTACCATGCTGAAGATAAGTGTATCCCAACTTAGTAATCTAAAATATCTGTTTTTCAGCATTGAATTTCTGGAGTTAATAGAATAAAACCAGAAAAATGCTGAAGTATGTGTGTGGAAAACTAAGTTCTGTAGGGCTAATGGTACTTCCGTATAAGAGGTCTGTGGGTTGTGAATAGAACAAGGGTATGGAGGCCATGCTGCTGGGGCATGGTGACTGGTGCTCATGTGTGCACTGATTGTTACTGGTGCTTGCAGCTCACTTGGAGCTTTGGTCTTTGAACATGGGTCATACCTCTCAAGCATGAGAAGGGATTTGATTAGGAAGTCTAATCAAAAGTTGTGGCTTCTCAACACTTGAGTTTCATTCTGAGGATGACCAGGTTATCTTGCTTGCTTTGCCAGTGCTGTGAAGTCTGTTATTGATAGTTATAGCTGATCAGTGCCATGCAGAATTGTGGTTTTCTTGCAAATGTTCCTATTCAAAAAGGAGCAATATTGTTTCAGATAGCTGTCTGAAGAATACTCTCTGTGGTGTTGTGTACTTCCATCTGTGGTATACAGATGGTGTGCTTTATCCCCTGCACCCATATGGAGGTGCGTGTTTGTAATTGTTAACCAGAACACTCGTACTGGGGGCATTAGGAATGCTGGCACTACTACTACAGAATGCAGCAAAACTGCTGTTAGAAAATGAATTGAAGGAAATGGTAAACACAATACAAACATGAGTGGTGTATGGCAGGACTGACTCTAGCAAGGGCTGCTGTCATCTCAGGTATCACTGATGATCTGACTCTTCTGTAGTGTGTTGCTTTTTCTGTTTGTTATTGGGATGTTTTGTTTTTGCTGGTTCTATATGGAATCTCTTTAAAGAAAACACGATATCTAGATGCCTGTCATTCATGCAGATCCTGCTGTTGATGTTAGTGGCAAGGTAACAGGAAATGTGTGGGTGGTGACATCCATGTGACACTTTCTGAGGTTCTTCTTTAAAAGCCTTTATCTCACTGAATTGCACAAATAACTCTGGCCTCGTATGAGTCTACCTCATGGACAGAGAAAAAGTAATGACCAGTACTATGACTGTACCAATTTATATCCCACATCTTTTAAAAAGTATCTTGTAAAATTTTCTCCTTTCATTGTTGCCTTTCTATGGAAAGGCTAACAGAAACCAAACAAAAAACACTTCCACAAACAGTTGTTTAGTGAAAATTTTTAAATTTGAATTGAATCTTGGTTTTATATATGCATGCTTTAAAAAAAAATAAAGATCTACATATGCAGACTGACAAAATAGAGGACAGTAACCAAATTGGTGTGGCTTTGACATGTGCAAAAGAAAGCAAGTACTGCCAAGAATATTTCAGCTGTGATATGTAGTTTACATATACTGTTGGTACCAAACAATGTGTTTATTTCTTAGATTCAAAAGAGCTTCTATTTCCGTGTGTTGTGTCTGTTCAAATAAAAAATTGGCTTACCTGAGAGCTGAAAATCAATGACTTAGTGTTGTTGTCTTGCAGGTGGTTTTGCGTTTGTCTATGAAGCTCAAGATCTTGGAAGTGGCAAAGATTACGCTTTAAAGGTAAAGTGAATTTGCTTCACTGCAGGTTTGCAAAGTCTGTCTTTGCTTAATGCTTTATAATGACTGCTGATTCTTGACGTAGTCTGTTGAAGAAGTCATTTGGAAAAACCCAGGATGAAACCTAGTGCTGTTTGCTCTGCAGTGTACCCATATTTAGAAACATCATTGCTCGTAGGACCTTGCATTTTTATGCTGAAATACCAATGACAAGAATTGATCTATTAAGTAGTAGTGCTGCTTATCTCAATTTATTCTAGATGTTCATGGCTCTGCTTTTGAGGATTCGGTTGCATAGTTAGAAAGGATCTTGCCTAGTTGCCTAGTGGAAGATACTAGAATATTTTCATATTAAAATACTGAAAATGGTTTAGACCTCCACATTTTGATCTATTCATTGAATTTTGAACTGAATGTTTCTCAGATTCATCTGGATTCTCAAGTTCTGAAGGCCTAGAATAATGTGATAGCTTAAAAACAAGTATTATGGAGAGAACAATAAAGTAAAGCCGTTTACCTTATTATCATACATTTTTTTAAAAACAGAGTAGTTGTTTGTGATTACTACAAAATGGTCTGGAATGGTCTAGCTAAATAAAAAAAAAGGATGTCTTGGGGAGAAGAGGAAAAAAAGTAGTATAAGAGGTGAGAGTAGTAAGTTGGCATTACATCACTAAGAAGAATTTGCTCCATTTTTGTACCGCATCCTAGAATAACAAAATTTGTGACCATAAGCATGCAATTTGGCTTCAGTAACATATTTTGTTACTGCAGTACATGTGCAGTTTGTGTGTTCAAAATGTCATATAGAAATAGTCCCCCATTTAAATATAATGAAATCCATTGAACGACTTTGGTTGGAAAGGGCCTTAAGGATGATGGAGTTCCAACTTTCCAGTAGGCAGGGATGCCAGCTACTAGATCGTGATGCCTGTGGTGCTATCCAGTCTGGCCTTGAATGCCTCCAGGGCTGGGGTGTTCACAACTTATTTGGGCAGCATGTTTCACTTTCTCAGGACTCTTTTAGGAAAAAAAGTTTTCCTAACATCTAAACTTCCCCTCTTCTAATGCAAAGCCATTCTTTGTTCTATTGTTATCACTGTTCCCATATGAAAGGTTGATATGTCTCCTGCTTATAAGCTGCCTTCAAGTACTGTCTCAAAAGGCTGTAATGATGTCTCCCCAGAGCCTTCGTTTCTCCCAGCTAAACAAGCTCATCTCCCACAGTCTCTCTTGCGTAAGAGTGCTGCTCCAGCCCCCTGGTCATCTTTGTGGCCCTTCTCTGAACCTGAATAACTCTATATCTGTTTTATT